GAGGCTGTGCCTGTGTTTCCTTCCCTTATGGGCAATGCTGATCTTGAGACTCGTGGGGCTCAGTTCAAGGACAAATGTGGCCTGGGTCTATATCATAGATGGTCAAGGCTGCTTCAGGGCTTTAGATAGTGGAATGCTGGTAACTGTTTAGCAATTGGCTGCAAGAGGAGTGGGCTGATTCATAGCCACTGCCCATTTTGGTGGTGTAAATACTCCCATTACAGCTGATTTCGGGCTACATGTATGATTCCACTGAACTTGTAGCTGAGAAGATATGTACCGCAATACACCATCATATAGTATTTCAACCACACAGATACATAGAGGCCAAGGAAAAATTACTTCAAGATAATAGTAAAATATAATAAAGTATTTGGCAAATTCAGGTGAGTTCTGAATATGTATTACCTTCATTTTAAAACACACTTTAATTGTTAATTTACTTTTTAGCAATGGCTACATTTAACTCACTCCCTACATTCCTGACATGTTCACCATTGCTCAGATGCGCTACACTGAACTTGTTCCAGAGTACCACTGGTCTTTGATGACCGTAGCCTTGGAGAGCAAGCTGGGCTAACCACTCTCCTGTGCGGCACCGGAAAGCTGCTTAGGAATCTGCCCCCCTGCTTTCAGGGGAGGTCACTAGCGTGATGTTCAACTCTGCTTGAGCGTGAATAGAGGGCCCAGGGCTGCTTTCTCCTCCTTCAAGCTCTGTGCTGTCTCGGCTTTAAAGGGGAGCCTAAATATAATAGGGGAGGCAGAGAACAGGCTACCTCTGCAATGTCCACTTCTGCAGGCATGAAGAGATGGGGTTGGCATCGACTGGTCAATGAACCCTGAGAGCCTAGCTGGGAATAACCTGTTCTTCGGGGAGTCGACCTAACCTTCAGGAGTCAACGGCTGAACCCTCAGGCTTCTACCCCACAGATGGGTCCCGTAGGTATTTCCTGCCAACCCGGCCTGTCCCATTATGCCCCAGGAGCAGAGAAGCAGCTGGACAGGACTGTGTGGCCAGTCCCTGCCCCATTCTCGTTCTCCATCCATCTTCTAGGACCCCAGAAGCAGCACACATGGGCTGGGGACATTCCTTATTCCCAAGCATCCCAGTAGCGCTTAGCTTGACTCTTGTGCAGTGCCAGACTCAAGAACAGGCCAGAGCAGGGAAGAAGGAAAGAGGAATTGCATATATCCTGCTGGGAGGAGGGAACAAAGAAATAGGTAGGGAGGTTGGGGTGAGGGATGGCAACTGAAGCTGTGAGAGGATAGAGGGTCCCTAAAAAGCAGCCTCTCTGCTCCGCCTCCCTTCAGGTCCCAGAGCCACAGTGGTCCTTTGGAGCTTCCAGACTCTTTGCAACCCCCGTGCACTGCCTCTGAACTGAACTCTGGAAACGCCTGGGCCACTTGCTGTCAGAGCTTGTTTTCTGGGTGGCTTATCTGCTGAGAGGAGAGGGGAAAAGCTGCTTTAGGATGATATCTGACTCAGTCACGAAGCTTCCAAATCAGAGAGGAAACACGCCAGGAAGCCAGGGGAAGGGGCAACAGCTGCGGGATTCGCTGACTCTGCTCTGGAGGGAAACGTCCAGCACTCGCTGGGGAAGAGACTCAAGCAGCCCCGCGCTCACCCTGTAGCCTTGGGCCCTGCAGAGCACCCTCAAGAAAGTGGGGGGGGGGCGCTTATGATTGAGCATCTCTATAAAGATGAGGCTATCTTTCCCTGGAATAACACTGCCATTTGCTGCATGCACATTCAAAGAAGTAGCAGATGTGTGGTTTCATCTTTTTTTTTCTTTTCTCTTTTTCCAAATCCTGATTTATTTGTCTTCCTATGAAAAGCCCGACACTTGAGGGGCTTTCTCTGTCCGTCAAAGCTTTTTATATCACTATACTGAATATTCTCTGTACTGCCTGCTTTATTGGTGGTTAGTTGTTTTAAATTGGGAAAACTCATGCTTGTGCGATGGGTCGGGGTGGTTCGAGTGTCCTAGGGATCACGATGCAACTGTTTAGTCTTCTTCCTTCAACCTTTCCCAGCAACTTGCACCCCTGTTTTCCCTAACCTCATTTAAAGCCTGCAACAGGTTCCTTATCCCTGTGCAGCACGCTGCGTCCCTTCCTAGGGCTCAGCACATATTTACTGAAGAATCATGTGACAAGGCAACAATCAGAGCAGGTTCTACCTGGCTTTCCCTCCACCTTAACTGAAATCGGGGTTTAAACAGATGCTTGGACTAGGTCCTTGTATCCCAAATCCTGGGGCTCCGACACGGGAGCTCAGAACGTTGGAGAAAGTGGAGGATGGAAAGAAGCGGTGGCAGTGGCTCTGTGACTGGCTGGTGAGCGACTGTTGACAAGAGGGACAGTCCACATTTAGAGTAAAAGAACACTACACAGAAAACCACGCGTCCAGGCCCGGCACAGTGAAGGGACACGCCCCACCTTCAGGAGGGAACTGACACTTTCCTTGCATCTACATGACACAGATCACAAGAGGAGCGTTGCTCAAAGCACAGGCTTTGCCCTCCAACCAAACCAAACTCACTGCCCTCCAGCCCATGCTGACTCATGGTGCCCCTGCGGGTTTCCCAAACTGTGGTTGTTCATGGAAGTAGAAAGCCCAGCCCTTTTCCGGAGGAGCTGTTAGTGCTTTCGAATTGCCAACCATTCGGGTTGAGCTCCAATGCATAACCACAAACCCCCTAAGAGATATATAGTCCATGTTAGAGTACCCTACAATGCAGAGATCTCTTTGCTGTTGCAACGTGATTGGTATTTGTGTGGGTTGGGTAACTGGGTTACGTTTGGCCTGGTGTGGGAGTTAAAGGAAAGTCAGAAATACAGCCAACGTGCCCTTGACAACCACGCAGTTCTCTTTCTACGATTCCAGGTGATGGCCAAATTCTAACCTTCTTGGCTTCAGAGCCTTTGATACCTGAGCAGGTGAGGTGCTTGATTGGAGAGAGAGGCAAAGGCCATTTGAACAGAACAAAGTGAGAGACTTTGTATGCTATTTTGGTTGGCAGAAGAAACCAAAAGGTGTATTCACGGGATGCTTCTTAAATGAGTCCCAAGTTTAGAAAGTTTCAACCATGCCCTAATCTCTTCACTGGAAACTTCTCAGACATATTTAACTCACTACTGGGGATTGGGGAGATTCTAGATGGATTCCCAAGAGTTGTGGAGAAATTCTGGATAGGAGTGAGACATACACCACTCTTCTTTTATGGACATGGTAAGTTCCAAAGAGCAAGATCTTATGCAAACGTGGGGACTAGCCCTGTCAGATCACAGCACAGAGGATGACTCCTTTCATAACTGCCAAATAGCATCCTTACCTAACTGCCAAGGCACAGAGATTTATAGCCCAGCCAAGTTAGCCTATAACCTTAATCATCAGGGCCAGTGTGATTCCTGCCTTATAGCTGGCTGTTGGTGACTGCCAGACATATACCGTTCATGTGCAACATAATGGGACGGTCAGTTCTTCATGATTGCTGTCAATGTGAAACATCAGACCGTGGTGAGTGAGGAGTCGGTGTACTGGAGCAAGGGGGCGTGACTGGTGCCTAAACTTTCCTCCTTTTTAATTGAGCCGGGATGAGACTGTAGTTGCACGCAGCCTGCTCCACAGCCAGAACTGAGCTTCTATTTATTTCATGCTGGCTCTTAATCACCTGCTCAATCCAGAACAAACCAGACAGGCCACACCGCATACTTTGGCCGCCACTTGAGCTCTCTCAGATAACACGAGAAGGGAACAATGTGAGGGAGGCGGAGAAAACCGCACACCAGGTGGAAAGGGGATGGCCAAGAAGGGCTGTGACCACACACTGCCCAGGAGATTAGAATATCCCGCTTGGGCCCCCGTGGAAGCTTGCGCGACTAGGTCAGAAAGGGTCCTTCTGAAGGGGATACAGGTCCTCGGTGGCAGGTCCTGGGAAGGTGGGTCCCACTGTTTCTTTTAATTTCTATACCGTCCCAACCTCACCTTCAAATAAAATTCTGCAGCGTGGGAGTACTTTCTGCCTTTGAATCTATAAGAGACACTAGGCATTTCTGAGAGGATTGACAGTCCAGCGAGCAAAACCAACTGGGAAAGCGAGTGAGTGGCGCCTCTGCACGCTTCCATTACTCTCCCACAGGGTCGGTGGAAATACACGCCTTAACAGTTTGTCCTTATTTCTGCACATCTTACGGTCAACTGAAAAGCCAGCTCAGGTCCCTACGGGTGTCTTTTTAAAGAAGACAAATCAAGGAGTAGCCAGGTGGGGGAGATGAGTACATAAAAGAGCAGGATGCTGGGTCCTTTCTTTGGGTGATGAGACCCCTGGCTGCTCTCTGATAATGTGGTCCGAGGCAGAGAAGAGAGGGACTTCAGGAACCACCTGCCTGCTGGTTGGCTGTCTGTTCAATAGGCTTTGTCTAGTCTTGATGGCTTTCCCTTCTCCTGTTCCTGTGTCGTTTTGAGGTTGAGCTTTCCCCATGTTTCAGGCCTTGAACACCTATCCCAGGGGATCCGTCTTCTTCCTGTTACCCCACCCACCCCTACCACAGCAGGCTGACCCCGCTCTGCATATAGACATGGATGACTTCGAGGGGGAGTCAATCAACGCCTTACAATAATGAAAGGAGTTTTTCACAGAGACTCTCACAGAAACTCTGCAGCCAGGAGCCTTAGGAGGGGCCAGGAGTTGAGCCTGCTCTGAATGTCCTATTGAAAACTACGGTTCTCCCATCCTGGAGGCCCCAGGCTGCCACCCTGCTGGAAATGCCAATCCCTCTAGGAAAACAGGGAGAGAGAGTTAAAGAAGGAATAGTGTTTAACTGTGGTCCTCACAGCAAGTCTACACAGAGGCTTCGGATTTCAAAGCAGCCGTGTGAAAGCAGGCGCTTGTGGGAGGAGCCAGCTGGAGAGGTGAGAAGGTCATGTCCCTGATAGCTGACCCCTGGGAGTGCCCTGCTGACCCCCCCCCACCACCACCACCTCTTCCAGAGCCAGGAAGATTCCAGAGGTAAACTGAGCAGCCAGACAGCCACCAGGAGAGGTTGTCCATCCAGGACAACAGGCAGGCTGCGACTTTACCCAGACCCAGCCAGGAGAAGCCAGTGGAAGAGGAGCTGCTAGGGTGACACCAGCTGGCGAGTCAGATGCCATCTAGTTGGGACACTGTGCCTCCACCACGGGACAGAGGGACCCTCACGGGACCATCTTGTATTTCTCAATAGCTTTAGGTGTGACTTTCTTCCCAGCTTGCTCGACTAGATGCCACTGTTATTTATTTATATACCCTTTGTTTGTAGGTTCCTGGGTGGCACAAATGGTCAGCGCTGGGAGATGCACCCCAACATTGGTGGTGTGAGCCCACCCAGCCCTCTGTGAAAGAAAAGTCTGGTGATCTATAAAGCTTACTCTTAAGACAACCCTCCGGGGCAGTTCTGCTTTGTCACACATGACGTCACCAGAAGTTGGAATCTTTTCAAAGGCAACGGATTTGTGGCATTGGGTTAGTAAGGGTTTTGTAGAGATCGACTGGCCAGTTCTAACCTCGCGTTGTGCTGGTCCAATTGGCAGAATCAGGGAAGCAGCAACGGTTTTTAGGAAATGGCTTTTTTTTTTTTTCCTATCCAGAAATCGGCTATCTGACAAGATCAGGGTAGCTTCCGAGTGGCACTTGGAGATGGCAGCCCCTCTCCGATTGCCACCCATCCTGAACCTCTCGTCCGCAGGTGCGGATACTGCGAGGGGCCCCTCCCTCATCGCTTCCAGCAGTCGAAGGGGGGTTCTGGATGGAAACCTTGCCGCTCGCTCCAATCTTGGCCGCTCTGGGCAGAGCCTTGCCTTGGCGCTGTTGCCACCCTCAGCAGTTAGTTACCGGCACTGCCAGCCCCACGGAGCCCCACCCAGCGGCCTGGCCCCACATGGTTGTCTGCAGCGAGAGTGGCTGGGTGTCCTTTGCTAAGAAAACAGGAAGTATCACTCAGTTTGAAGAGAGAGAGAGAGAGAGGGAGAGAGAGAGAGAGAGAGAGAGAGAGAGAGAGAGAGGAAATCCCTCTCATTAGCACAGATGCAGCAACATGCCAACTTCTCTTTGCGGTTAGTGTTGAATTAGCAGGTGGGACCATTTCTTCCACCAGCACAGCCCTCTTAGCCTGCAGCCCTCAGCCCCTTGGGATGGCCTGGCCGCCTTCAGAGCCTTTGGAAACGCACACTGTTTACAGAGGCAGGAACATCACAGCTAGGAAAGGCATGAAAAGGGAGATGGGGCGAAGTCACACCAAGGGCAAGGCTGGATGCTTCTAGAGCTTCGTCACAGCCCGAGAGCTTGCGTTCTGACACCTGACCACCTTCCCAGGTATGAAGAGTCTGAAGCCTTGAGCCGGCCGGCAGGATTGGCACAGGGCGAGGAAGATGCAGGCGGCGTGGCTTTGCTCCCGGTTACATCAGGACCTGGGTTCGTGTGTCAGGCAGGCGCAGCCCCACGAGTCCGCCACACACGAGCACAGTCGAAGCCAGCAGGATGGGGATGGCTTTGGTGATGCCGACCAGGGAGCCGAATATTAGGTTTCCGAGGACGGCTGCTGCTTTGCACAGAGCATTCAAGAAGCCGAAGCCTGTAGCCCTGTAAAGCAAAGAGACACAGACAAGGTTGGGGAAGAGACCTCCAGGACCCCAGCCGGACCCCTATGTCCTGGGTGGGACGTTGTCAATGACCAGGTAGATTGCATTGCTTCGGATCAGAACGGGAGACAGACCAATAGACTGTTGCCAGCAGGCCTGGGGGTGGACTTGCTATTTTGTTTAGAGCAGTGGTTCTCAACCTTCCTAATGCTGCGACCCTTTAATACAGTTCCTCATGTTGTGGTGATTCCCCCCGCCCACACCATAAAATTATTTTCATTGCTACTTCATAACTGTAATTTTGCTACTTTTATGAATCATAATGTAAAGTCTGATATGCAGGATGTATTTTCATTGTTAAAAAATGAACATAATTAAACATAATTAAAGCATAGCGATTAATCACAAAATAACATGTAATTATATATTGTGAAATATTTGTGTTTTTTTGATGGTCTTAGGTGACCCCTGTGAAAGGGTCATTCGACCCCCAAAGGGGTCTCGACCCACAGGTTGAGAACCACTGGTTTAGGGGATACTCAGAATTTCAGAAACATCCCTATTTAATAAAGAAAATTCAAAATTTACTTCCGAAGTAAAAAAATGTATGAAAACACACTCCTCACAGAAATTCTTTTACTGTGGTTGGAAATAGACATGCTAATTCCACATCTGTGGCACATACGATTCATGATACTGGTTATAGTCATCATCTTGTGCAACCGTCACGGTCATGGCTCTTCAGCCTAAATTATTCCACCACCGCTCATAGAAGCTCAGTATCCCTTAAACGAAGACACCCCCTCCTTTGAGCCCTCCTACCTACTTGTCTCTGACTTACTTCCCTTAGCACAATGTTTTCAAGGTTCATCTATGTCACAACGTGTTTTAGGAATTCATTTGTCTTCATGGTAGAGTAATATTCTAGTGTACGTATAGACCACATTTTGTTGACATAATGTTTCTATAAATTATTCTTAACCGCTGTGTTCCCATAAGAGTAAATGGGTAAATGCTGGATTTCTAACCAGAACGTAAGCAGTTGAAATCCACCAGCTGCTAGAAGAGACAGATGAGGCAGTTTATTCTGTATAGATTTAAAGACTCAGAAATCCCACGGGGCACATCTACCCTGCCCCATAGGGCTGCTAAGAGTTGTACTCTATGGCAGTGGGTTTGGTTTGGGGTCTTATTAATTCTTGTTAGCTTGATTAATGGATCAGATTTTAACTACATTAAAACCCCAACCAATTGAGTCAATTCCAACTTACAATGACCCTATATAGGGTGTCCTAGGCTGTCCATTCACGAGCCCTCATTATACAGTGGTTATAGATTTGGCTTCAAATTGCATCACTGTGGGAAGAGCAGGTTTTCTACTCTTGTCAAGAGTTACTCAGTCCACATAGGAGAAGCACAAAAACATCAGTGACTGAAGGATTGTAAATCATATAATCCGACGTCGAAGGAGGGAATAGTATCACAGCCTTACTTGTGAGAATCTGGTGAGCAGAAGGCTATGAATGGCAGTGGTGGCCCAAGATACGTTTGTGGGATCTACATAGGAAATATGTTTCCAATGATTTCCCTGTATCCATAATAGAGGGATGGGTGGAAAGCCATTACCAAATAGAGTCCATTGGAGAGATGGCTACAGAAGATCAAAATGATAAACCTGACTTGAATGGTTAAAACCTTGTCATTTGACACCCCCCACTGATAAGCATTAGGCCTGATCTGGTTTTCAACATTTTCTGTGTTTGTTTTCATATTGGGCTTGACCTCGATGTGTTTTGTCATTGGGGGTCACCTTCTTGAATTTTTGTTATGTTTTTCAGTATCTGAAACCCAGGATTGATGAACCTACAGGGACAGCAAGTAGAATAGGGGGTTTCAGGGGGGATACAGTGGAGGGGGCAGGTAAAAGGGAGCTGATGTCAAGGAGTTCAAGAAGGAAAAAGCATGTATTGAAACTGCTTATGGTAGCTATTGTACAATACCGCTTGACGTGATTGAACTATGGAATGATATGATATCAGTTCTACCTTGTCCTATAAGGTCACTGTGAGTTGGCATTGACTTGATGGCAATGAGTTTTGTTGTTTGGAGGCTGTAAATTCAGGCTGGATTCAGAAGAAGGCACGGAATAGGGATATCATTGCTGACATCCAATGGATCTTGGCTGAAAGCAGAGAATAGCAGAAAGATGTCTACCTTTGTTTTAGTGACTGCCGAGGCATTTGACAGTGTGGTTCATAATAAACTATGGATCACTTTGAGAAGAATGGGAATTCCAGAACACTTCAGTGTGCTCATGGAGTACTTGTACTTGGATTAAGAGGCAGTTGTGTAAACAGAGCAAGGGAATACTGCATAGTTTCAAATCAGGAATCAGGCTGTATGTTCTCACCATACAGTGCGCTGAGCAAATAGTCATTCTGAATGTGGGGCAAATCATCAGAGAAGCTGGGTTACATGAAGAAGAATGTGGCATCAGGAATGGACAAAGGGTTATTTACTACCTGCTGTATGCAGATGACACAGCGTGGTGAAAGAGAGGAGGACTTGAAGCATTTGGTGATGAAGACCAAGGATCACAGCATTCAGTATGGATTACAACCCAATGTAAGAAGAGCAAAATTCTCACAACTGGACCAGTAGGTAACAAACATGATGAATGGATAAAAGATTGAAGTTGTCAAGGATTTTGTCTTCCTTGGATCCACAACCAATGCTCATGGAAGCAGCAGTCAAGAGAGCAAAAGACACATTGCATTGGGCAAATCTGCTGCACAAGACGGCTTTAGAGTGTTGAAAAGCAGAGATGTTACTTGGAGGACTAAGGTGAGCTTTGCCTAAGCCATGGTATTTTCAATAACCTCATCTACATGTGAAAATTGGACATTGAATAAAGAAGACCCCCCCCCCAACAACAAGAATTGATGCATTTGAATTGAACTGTGGTCTGTAGAAGAATATTGAAAGTACCATGGACTTCCCAAAGGACAAACAAATCTGTCTTGGAAGAAGTGTGGCCAGAGTGCTCCTTAGAGGCAGCGATGGTGAGACTTTACCTGATATGCTTTGGACATGTTGTCAGGAGAGTCCAGTCCCTGGAGACGGCCATCATGCTTGCTAACAAAGAGACAATCCATTCAGTGAAAAAGAGTAAGTCTCTCAATGAAATGGATGGACACCGTGGCTGCCAAATGTGAGGATGGCGCAGGACCGGGCAATGTTTGGCTCTGTTGTGCAGGAGTCATTATGAGTAGCCAACTCAGTGGCACCTAACAACCACAGGTTGTATGTTGTTGATGGGAACAGACAGCTTCATCTTTCTCCCTTGGAAACCAGGGATGGCCGAGTAGGAACCCTCATCTTTGAGACATCAGGGAGGTAAGCGATGATGCTCTCTCCCCACATGTGTCTTGCTGGCTGGCACCAGGCTGGATGGGCTCCCAGTGAACCAATATAACATATCTTTATAGTCTCATCCCGTTCTGTGCTGGAAATCAAGCCCAGGAGTCTTTTACAGAAAAGAGTCAGACTCTGGCCTAAAGAAGCTTTTACTCATTATACCTGCTGGAATTTGAAATGTGCCAGTATACAAGTCAAGCATACCTGTTTCTTTTTTCTTTTTAACCATTGTATGGGAGCTCTTACAGATATTATAACAATTCATAGTTCAATTCGATCAAGCATACTTGTACAATTTCTGCCACCATTAATTACAACACACTTTCTTGCTTCCCCCACCTTACCCCCCAGGAACCCTTATTATTATGTTATTGTTTATATATATCTATATCTGTATCTTACACAAACTAGTGAATCCGTTCACCTACAATTCTGTTATTCATTCCCCTCAAGTAGGGTTATATTGACCTCATTGCTATCAGCTCCCCACACCCTCCCGCCCCCGCTTCCTGTATCCTCAGGGAATCATTACTCCCATTACTGTTTCTGAAGGGTTATCTATCTTGGCTTTCATACAACAAACAATCTTAACTATACACATGAACATAGGCAGGTCTAACAAGATAAATGAGATAAAACAAAGGCCATAATAATAATAAGTGAAAGAAATATTAAAGAACTAGAGGATAGTTATGTGGTTCATCAGTGCTATACTGCACCCTGGATACATGATCCTTTCTGTGTGGCCCGACTGTGAGGGACTGTCCAACTTTCTTACAGGTGTGTTTTGGGTCTCCACTTTGTCCATGATCCTTCACATCAATCTGACTGCTTGGTTTTGAACTTCTGATACCTATTCCCATTGACACCTTGTGATTAAACAGGTTGGTGTGCTTCTTCCATGTTGACTTTATTGCTTCCCTGCTCGATGGCCGATTGTTTAATTTCAAGCATCTAAGACCCCAGATGTATACCCTTCAATAGCTGGGCACCATCAGCTTTCTTCACTACATTTGCTTATGCACCCATTTTATCTTCAGCAATCATGTTGAGGAGGTGAGTACATACAATTCCACAATAAAACAAACCGTTTTTGTACTGAGGTAGGATTTAAATAGAGGCCCCAAATCCACCTACATCCTTGTTGTATTTACACACACACACACACACACACACACAAATACACCTATTTTTATAAATTTATATACTTACATACTTTGCTTCATAAGCATACTTTTGGGGGGAAAATGAACTATGTTTCCTCTTAATGCATTGTACCTGATTTTTAGAAAGGAAATATACTTCTGTTCATACGAGTACAATAGGACCTTATACTAGGCGATGGCATGAGTTTTCTTCTGCCCTTATGCCAGTTCTGCTTTTCGCCTGCCATTCAGTATCTGAATGTTTTCCAGGCACATCAGATGCAGGGTAGTTTTCTGATACTTTCTTCCCCTATAAGGAAATGCATCTCCTAGGTTTTAAAATGCAGCATTTAATAAATACCTTTCTCCAATTTAAAAATCAAAGCTTTCTTTGAACAAGCCATAACTATTACTTATCATTACTGGGCTCTTCCTAGTG